GAAGTTCCTTCTAACATTACTCCCAATACAATGAAAATTATGTTATGATAACTGCTGTTTAACGCCGCAGTACGCGTTCCGAATGTTATCACAAGAATGCTGAGTTGTGGGCAAAAGTCGTGCCCCAGGCGGGAGTCGAACCCGCACCTCGACTCCCGCCTGGGGCACGACTTTTGCCCACAACTCAGCATTCTTGTGATAACAAGGCACAGTAACTGCGAAGTGTATGACCGCAATTCTGATTCAGACAAGAGACTCCAGCGAGATTTATTTGCCTCTACTCATCATATCCCTTACACATGGCCTGAGTTACATACTGGTCTCCATAATCTGCTGAATCTTTTGTGAGTTACGCAGCGTTCAGACTTCGCGACGGCAGCGCTTCGGTCGCGCGATTCGACGATCGATGCGCATGCTTTCGACTGCATCGATCGCGTCGAACGCGCGACCGAAGCGCTGCCGTCGCGAAGTCTGAACGCTGCCTTAGAAGCTCAGGTTACCAGATCAATGGGAAGGCTTAGACATTGGGATGTGTCTAATGAATTCAGCGGCTTGCAGTAAAACGCTTCCAGTTAACCCCTAGAGAAACCTAAGCCCACTAGAGAAAGCAAAGGTAAAAAAAGCGTAATGAAAACACCATAAAACCATCTCATTCGCAAGAAAAGAGGAGAAAATCGGACATGAAGTGGTAAAATTCCTGACGGCGCAAGTAAAATATGAAGTGGACGGGAGGTTATGTTCAACCCACCTCACGGTAGAAGCTGTCATTCTCTCTTCGCTAGCTACGACAGGCAAGTACGGAAAAGAATCTAAGTGGCGCTCTTAAGCTTTAAGAGTAAATCTGAACACTGCTCCCCTGCGCAAAACTACTGGAGATCGCTCCTTTCAGGCAAAGTCAGAACAGATTTGTAGCTCTTGTTCATAATTGCAGCGATAGAGAATAAATTGTACTACAAGCTGGAAGTGGTTTTCAAAATGTCTATCATTTGGAACAATAGCAATTGTTCGGAAATTTCCTACAGAAGCAACTCCCGTCTATCGTTGGTACAGCCGCTTGTACTTGCTGCGCTTTACGCCGTATAAATAGGTCTCAGACGCAACTCTCCAGCAGTGTTCTCGATCTACACCCGCCCTACACAATGGTTACAACCGTGATTCTAAGTGCTACAATGGTACTCTGGATTTCGTTCAACGGAGGACAAGCACAGCTCTACGAATGTCTTAACGGTGGCAATGGACGTGAGTTGCTCAAATACCGCGCAGAATTTTGCTGAAGTATGTGTAGTCTAACCAGATGGATAAAGAAAG